ACGCGGAAATTATAACACAAATAAATACTATACTAGTAAATACTTAATATTATTAAATTACTATAAAAATAATAACAACTAAAATAATTAGTTTAATTATTTGGATATTTTTTTTTTTATGTGCATATTTAAAATAGGAGGTAGATCAAAATCTGTTATATTATTAATGCATTTATCACCATGTTCAATTTTACATTTTTTAATTTCAAATTTCTCAACCCAATCTAATTCTTTCCCTTTGTTGAAACTATGTAACACTCTTGTATTTAGATTTGAATTGAAATTATGTTTTGTTTCTTTTAGATGGTCCTTAAATTCCGAAAATTTGTTCGATTTAGGCAAGTGTTCTTTTACTCTTGTTTTTATTTCTCTACCGCTTTGTCCTATATATATACAAAGGAAAGAATTAGATTGGTTTGAGAAATTTGAAATTAAAAAATGTAAAATTGAACATGGTGACAAATGTTATTATTAATAATATAACAGATTTGTATCTACCTCCTATTTTAAATATGCACATAAAAAAAACATCCAAATAATTAAACTAATTACTTTAATTGTTTATTATTTTTGTAGTAATTTAATAATATTAAGTAATTACTAGTATAATATTTATTTATGTTATAATTTCCGCGTTTCGCACGTTCAAATTGAGCGCCATTAAAAAAATCAGCTGCTAATTGGAACGTCGCGTTGGCGGAGGTATCAGCGGGTTCACTTTGGCAATTCATGTCGTGAGACGTGGTTGTAGAAGTCCTACAACCTGATGATGAGCTAAAAGGCTCGAAATCCGGACGTTGCAAAACAACTTACTGTGAGTAAGAACTACCTTTTTAAAAAGGATTGAACACCACACTCACTCCATCATTTATCATTTCTACCTTTGCTTTGGTACCAGGGCAATAGGGCAGAGGAGCAACGAGTAAGCCGATAAATTGCCGATGGAAAGCTCAATGAGGACACCTATCAGCCCTGAACCCTTTTACGGCATATCAAAAAACGGATCCATCAAACAATGGGTTAAAAATAAGCCCTCTAATTATTGGGAGTATATTTCATAAAAACTTTATTAAAGAACCATCACAGAAGCTAGCAGCAGAACTACTAAACCTAGGACGTGAAAGGACTAGAATTATAGTAGTGGACACTGCAGACCCTGGACGAATATGTATAGATTCAGAGCAGAAAGAAGCCTGTGAATATTGCAACAGAACATGTCATCTGTTGGTCTGAAAGCCTATGCAGTTCCTACTCCTGGGAGAAGAAGAGTCAAGGCCTGAAGGATATACCAAGGACCTGTTAACAAATCTTTGTGATCAGATAAAAAGTCTTTTTTAAAGTTAACAGAGCTCTAAACAATAATGGAGATTGCATAATTATTGGTCACGGTCCACAAGGTCCTTCTAACCTTAATCTTACTAACTACACTTAGTAAACAGTAAAATTGTGTGTGTGGTTGTGTGTGAGTGTATGTATGTGTGTTAGAATAAGAAGGATTATTTGGCTGAATTTTTAATGTACAAACTTTAAATCATTTCAGACTCCATTTATATTTGAGACTTATCGTAAGCTACTTCAATCAGATGCCCATGGTAATGGAAGCTTTTAGAGCATCTGATTTGGCCATCGCTAGCAAAAGAGTTACACTCCCTGCACTCGTTTGGATGCTGTGGTCTAGAGCGAGATTCGTCAACGATGAACTCTACAGAGGGGTGAGTACAGATTCTTTTATCGTATGAATTCATCCTAATGCCAGTGGTGTTCCAGACGGCTACTATTCAACCAACTAACATTCCCGCAAAAGACTCAAAGACCTGCCAGACGGACATCAAGAGCTTGACGGCCTGCGAGAACTGCACCCTAGCGCAAGACGCCATCACCAGGCTGGTCGAGCTAATGGAGAAGATTTGCACGAACCTGCACATCAAGGGGAGTCAAATCCTGGAAGTCAGGTAGACCGAGTCAGGTCGAGGTTTTCGCAAGAGGGCTAAATGATGGTCAGTAGCCAGTTGTTTACAGAAAGAGCATGACCAACGACTTATTTTACATCACGCAGTGGTGCGCGGTGTCGAAATGGTGCGACGCTCTCCTCAATGACATAGATCTTCTCGGCAATCTGTCCTGGCAGTCCAGCTACCAAAGCAAGAAAGCTCATTCACGTATAAAACAAATAAAGCAGGAAACTACAGACTACGAGGACCGACTCAAAGCCCTAGAAGAAGAGAAAAATAAATTGAGGACAGACATTGATAAAGGTGTTTACTGATTTTATACGTTTTGAAAATCAAAAATACAATTTTTTTACAAATCATCTATCAAAGATATGAATCTAGCTCTATCCATTTAACATTGCTACTGGCCTTTTATTCATCGTCTAAACATAAGCAAGTAAATGAAAGCATAATCACAGATTTAATTTTTTTAATGCAAAATTCATTTATACTTTAAAAAATGGGAATATGATCAATCACTAATCGATATACGTTTGAATCAAATAACTTATTTTCAACAAATTTCTGCCAAATTAAAACATTTTTAAAAACTTTCAATTAATTAAGGTTTTTAGTTGAGATAGAAAAAGTCAGTGTCACGAGCGGGATTCGAACCCACGATCTTCGGCTAGATACGCCGCCGCTCTACCATTTGAGCTATCGTGACTTCGATCCATTCGGCCATTAGCTTCCCATCTCAACCCCACCTTTTGAATTTTCCCTCCTTTTTGCCATTTTTCAAGTTAGGAAGTTAGTGTCCGTGGGTTCGAATCCCGCTTGTGCCACTGACTTTTTTATCTCAACTAAAAACCTTAATTAATTGAAAGATATTAATTGGTCAAGCGGACCACGAAAATTGTTAATTTTTAAAAAGTTTTTTAACTAAATTATTAATTCATTTCCCAAACTTTTTCCAGCCTATGAATCGAAAGCGAACTACATCAAAAAAGTGTCAGAGCTGACGCTAAAAATGAAAGGGAAGAACAGCCAAATTGATGCTCTTGAAAAGAAATGTGCAGAATTAGGTGAAGTGTTAAAAAAATGTATAAATTGATAATCCAGCAGTCAAGAAAAATTAGCTTTTACAGAAAGCATGATGCAATCTTTGAAGAAGGAGTTAATCGACTGTAAGCAATCATCAATCAAAGAGAAAGAAAGATTTATCGATGTGAACAATGAAGTGAAAATTAAAATTGAAGAAATAGAAAAAATGAAAGCAGTCTTGGACGAGTAAGTTTATTGTAAAGATATATTCAGCGAATTATAAATAAATAATTATCTTTGTTGTTGTTTGTTTTTTTATATTAGGCAAACAACAGCGCAGACGTCCAAGTCGTTTGAACTCCAGAATAAGATAGACAGCCAGGAAGGAATAATAAATAGCTTACAGCAAAAAATTGAAGCACTCCACATGGAATTGGACAATTCTGCTAAGAGAGAAGAAACTTATAAACTAGAAATACTCAAGGAGCAGAATCACGGTGCAGTTATATGGAGAAATTATGAAACCCTTAAAGATGCCATTCGAAAACAGGAAGACCTGGTAAATCAATTTTTTTTTAATCCATTACAGTTCGTGGTCCGATTGTCCAAATAACATTTTTCAATTGAATATTTATGAAAGGTATTGGTCGAGATAAAAAATTGTGTCTCGAGTGGGATTCGAACCCACGATCTTCGGCTAAATAAATTGAATAAATTGAAAAATGGCAAAAAGGAGGGAAAATTCGAGAGGTGAGGTTGAGATGGGAGGTTGGTGCCCGAGCGGATCCAAGTCACGATAGCTCAAATGGTAGAGCAGCGGCGTATCTAGCCGAAGATCGTGGGTTCGAATCCCACTCGTGACACTGACATTTTATCTCGACCAATACCTTTCATAATTTTTTGTTTAAATTAAAACTTAACTTTTTTTCTCTCTACCTATGCATTTAAAGATCAACGAAAAAGAACAAAATGAAGAAGCGCTTCTAAGAACAATTGAGCTATTGAAAACTCAGATTGCTTGTGGACCAAGAAGTGAAATCGAACGTAAGCTTAGATTGGACAGCTTAAATTTTCCATTAATATTTCTGTAAACTTCAATATTTCAGTGACCGGAGATCCAATAATGGACATGGAGAACCAGAAAAAGGAAAATGAAGAGACTATTAAAAGGCTGAGTGAACATAATATTCAGATTGAAAAAACGCTGCACAAGCTTTATTCAATATCGACACCTGAACTTTGCTAACTTTAAAAAGAAACAAAAAGTATTTTAAAAAAAAAGTAAATAGGAAAATCAGGAAAATAAAGTTGTCGTGAATTGTTTCATTGTCAATTTATTGTAATTATCTTATCAAATGTAATCGTCTATTTTGTATGGCATGTTTTTTTTTCTTTTTGTAGAGAAAAATTGCGCGTTTTTGCTAAATTCTTAATAGATGAAAATATTATTTTTAATACGATGGTTGGTATACGATTAAAACCATATCTATTTATAAAAGTACATACAAAAGTAAAATGATTACTTTTCCTGGTGCACGGAGAACTAAAAACACTGCTCATACGTGACACAAGATTGTTATGCAAAAGACGAGCATATTTTCAACTGTAGAAGGCTTGACGTGTACACAGGATGTCCTGTTACTCGTGTTACAAACTTTGCCAATAGATTCTACATTCAAAATGGGATCAAAAAATACTAATTCACTATGGTCTGAATCTCAACAGTTTCGGAGTTATTCCCCTTTTTCTGATTTTTTAAGATTTCACGACAGCGCTTCAAATAAACAATCATAACTTCAAAACTCAAAGGATTTGGACAAATCCGTTGATGCCGTTGAAACTAAGTTAAATTTCCAATAAAATATGATCAATACTAAACTTGTAAACGTTGGTGAAATAGGCGTTTTAGTAGCCAGAACTTTGAAAAATAATTATTTTTTTAGAAGTGGAAAAACTTACTATGGTGATTCTAACCTACTATTTCCAAACTTAAGACAAGCAAATTTCAGAAATCGTACTCGATTTAATATCCTTTTTAGTGGTGTAATTGTTTTTAATTTCTTTTTTTCAAAATGAAGAATTTGATGAAGGAAAGGAAAAACCGTGATTGACGGATTAGTAAGGTGAAAAAAAAATTATCCTTTAAAGTTGCAGACGTATTAGTAAATAAGTAAACATTCGCACTATTGTTAATTCAAAATTTCCTTAAGTATTTTTTATTTGTTATTGTTATTAACCTTTCCACCTTAACAATCCGTCAATCACGATTTTTTCCTTTCCTTCATCAAATTCTTCATTTTGAAAAAAAAAGAAATTAAATTAAAAAAGCAATTACACCACTAAAAATGATATTAAATGGAGTACGTTGTCTGAAATTTGCTAGTCTCTAGGTTTGGAAATAGTAGTTTAGAATCACTATAGTAAGTTTTTCCACTTTGAAAAAAAAAATATATATTTTCAAAGTTCTGGTACTAAAACGCTTATTTCACCAACGTTTACAAGTTTAGTATTGTTTACATCTTATTTGAAATTTCACGTATTTTCAATTGTATCAACGGATTTGTCTATACTCTTTTAGTTTTAGAGTTCCCATTGTTTATTTGAAACAATTTCGTGAAATCAGAAAAAATGGGAATAACTCCGTAACTGTTGAGATTCGGACTGTAGTTGATTAGGACTTTTGGGTTCCATTTTGAATGTAGAATCTACTGGCAAAATTTGTAGCACGAATAGCCGAACTCCCTGTATAGACAATATTTTGGTACATCGTTGGATCTATGCATATTCTTGAGGAACAGATCCGCTGTTCTAGTACCTCCGGGTTATAGGAAATTTGAAATATGTTTAGTGTTTGTTCGTATTTTGCCTAATTTGTAATTTGATCGTTACCGATCATTTTGGCCTGTCTGTCCTCGCTAGGTTGTCCTCTCTGACAGAACGCAGATTGTACAATAATGGAAGAAGTCTGTCAGCTCATCGAGGCGCAAATCGTACAGAGGAATCTCACAATAAAATAATATTGTTTATTTATATTTATGCTGAATTAAACAAAAAATTAACACCTGGTAAAACAACCTCACCCTCAACATTCTCAGAAACAAGAGTGCGTACTATGATCTAAAAACTCTACAGTTCTTCAGATTCTTCTTCAGGAACCATCCACTTCCCCACCCCATGGAAATTCTCATCGAACAACAAACCTCGCAAACAAACTGACAATGTTTTTTCGTACTGTCCTATAAGTCTCCTATCTATCATCATAAAGTACTTGGGAAACCATTTTTTGGGGTATGTTATTTAATCTCTTCGAAGGATAGTTCTTACTCACAGTTTGTTTTTCAACTATCCGGGTTTCAAGCTTAAAGCTCATCATCAGTTTGAAAGAGTTACAAGCACGTCTCTTGATATGAATTACTGTGGTGAACCCCTGTTCCAATGAGAAGCTGGTTTTTATTGCCGCTCAATTTTGTAAGTGCGAAAAACTTGAATTACAACACAACTAAATATTACCCTAATAAACACTGTAAGAAAATAATTTTAAATTAGTGATTAATTTGTATATATTTTACTAATTAATTAATAAAATTAAATTAAATCTGAATTTATAGTAGATTAATAAATTAATAATAAAAATTAAATCAATTAATTTGGTTAATTTGTACGTCAAATATTATTTAGGCACATATTTAAAACAAACGGTAAATCAAAATCTATTATTTTATTTATGTGTTTAATTTTACATTTTTTTAATTTCAAATTACTCAAACCAATCTAGTTCCCTCCTTTGTTGAAACTGTGTATTTAAATTCACTAGTTTTCGTAGTCTTCTTGACCAATTAATATCTTTCAATTAATTAAGGTTTTTAGTTGAGATAAAAAAGTCAGTGACACGAGCGGGATTCGAACCCACGACCTTCGGCTAGATACGCCGAAGATTACTGGATACTATTATTTTACGTTTCTTATTATTAAAACCATGTGACTCTACAACCCTGGCTAACTCACCTACTAGGCAGGAAACTTAATTGGTTGAAATGAAAAAAGCTAGTACCACGAGCTTCGGGCGATTCGAACCCACGACCTTCGGCTAGATACGCCGCTACTCTACCACTTGAGCTATCGTGACTTCGATCCACTCGGTCACTAACTTCCTAACTTGAAAAATGGCAAAAAGGAGGGAAAATTCAAAAGGTGAGGTTGAGATGGGAAGTAGTGTCCGAGAGGATCGAGGTCACGATAGCTCAAGTGGTAGACCAGCGGCGTATCTAGCCGAAGATCGTGGGTTCGAATCCCGCTCGTGTCACTGACTTTTTATCTCAACTAAAAACCTAATTAATTGAAAGATATTAATTGGTCAAGTGGACCACGAAAACTAGTGAATTTAATAAAAATAAAATTAAAATCTAAATTTACAATACATTAATAAATTAATAATAAAAACAAAAATTTAATTAATAAAGTATATTATTTCTAGACCTTTTTGTCACGTAACCCAGGAAAAAAATTGCTATCCAAAGGATTAAATAAACAATAAATAACCATCCAGTAAGGCTTTATTGATAGTTAAACATGTTGTTACAAAAAATATCTATCAATAACAATAATCTTTAACAATGAACTTATGCTTGTGGATTTATTACAATACTGGTGTGTCTTTACATTTTTGTATATATTTGTTTAATATATATTTACATTAAAGTGAGGCACAAAAAGTAAAAAATACTTAAAGTCTTTACAAAAATGGATGATTTGTGTTTTTTTGTTAGAAAATACTTCTTACATTGTACCCCAAATTAATTGCGTTAGCCATCCCGAAAGGTATTATGCCTTCATGGCAAACTCATCCATCTTGAGACGGCTAATTGGCCGTGAAACCTTATGTTAACAACCTAACGGCCCAAAGGAAAGTGAAACTCCCCTTTTGAATCGACATAACCAACGTTTTTATTTACCATCATCATTTTTAATTTTTAATTTTCTTACAAAATCGAATCAATCATAAGATCAAAAAATGGATCTAATCATTGACACAATAATCACAGGCAGTTCTTTTTAATTACCTGATTTAAAATTATTGAAAGAAAATGAAAGTACTAAACTCTAAAATTCACACATGAAGGTGATGTAAAATTAAATGTACAGAATAATAACAATAATTATTAAATATATACAAAAAACTACTACTGAAACAAAAAATTACAGATGAAGGAAATTAATGGGCAATGGGAGGAAGCGGAAATCTACAGAATTAAACAAAAAGCGGTAGCCTGCCTCCATTTTTTAAAAATAAGAGAGCATGGGTGAAAAAGAAAATTAAGCTTAATTATTGTTGTTTTCTAGAACTCTCTAGAAACGCTGGACAACCTGTTCGCCAACTGCAAAAGAAAATTGTTAGTAAGTAAATGTAAAAAGCAATTACAAGAATACTCTACAGCCAGCTGTAAAGTAAATATGAATTAGTGAATAGCACTGCCTAACGCCAGATTGTTTAAATGTTTTATAAACTTCGCCTTCACTCAAAGCATTTTAATTTAGATAAGAAGCCTGAAAAATTATTACATTGTTAATATGGTGCTCATCTTTTGAAAATCACATATGTATAGTAAAATCACTAACTAATGAGCTTTCGTTTAATTTATAAATAACCATTCAGTAAAGATTCTTTCGTCATCGATATCAGGATCTATTAAAATTTAAGTTTAGTGTATGTATATGGAAGTTTTGAATTTAAAATCAAGAATGTTCAAGCACAGATAATAAAATAAACAAATTTATTTCTCTTTATGTGCCTTGACACAACAGGACAATTTTTGCACAAAATATCTACTTAAGCAGCAACATTGAGCATTTGGTTTCTTTATAAATAATTGAAAGTTAGCAATAGTTGGTCTTTTATCTGGTATATTGGCATATATATAATTGCCAAAAAATAAGGCACCACATTTAAAAAAAATGCTTTTTGTATTTCTATTTGTTTGTTCAATGCAGCTAAAATTTATACGTTAACTGAAGATTTATATAATTTTTTTGTGTTAACTTATTATGGCTTATCAGCATTAATTTTCTATCAAGACCTCTTTCGAGATACAAGCGTTAAAATTACTCTAGTTCAAAAACTATTGGGTCAATAGCAAAAAGCAGTAAAAGGAAACTAAAAGGTACACTTTGATTTTATTTTCTTCTAAGTAAGTTTTAGGGGGAAATGAAACATAAATCGACTGATTCTTAAATATCACTTTACATAATTAATGGATAATCTAATGTTGATCTTTTTTTTAATCTACCAGAATACACAAAACTGAATTTGTCTTGTACGTCACCCTGCTTCACAGCCTTATTTCCTTATGACAACAGGCTCTCCAACTGTAATTTCAAAAACAAAATTTATTAGGAAAAACACATGCGTATAATTAGTGGTGCCGGCAGTATGCAGTTGAAAATTTTTTTACAATGTGATGCAATTTTACAATAAATGACTGGTAGAAATTTAAATATGAGGCCTTGTAAATGTGTGTAATGTTAAAATAGTTTACAATTGAAAGTAAATAATTGGATAACTTAGCTTAACAACTTAAACTTTTGTTTTTGAGTTTAAGAGATAAAAGAAAATGCAATAGATCAAATTAAATTGTTTTGAATTTTAAATGTTTTGTACATAAATTATCAATTTATCACTGCTAGCACTTGAGCGTCACGTGTCTCACGAGTTGGATTTTTTATATCCCTCTCAAGGATTTCTGGTGTACAAATTGCCAATTTTTGTGTTGGCTATAAAATAATAAAAATAAAACAAAAAACCCTTACCTTGATCATAGAAGAACCGATTGCAGCATTCCAAAGGGCGAAATTCGCAAACTTTCAAAACAAAAAATCCGATAACTCAGTGAATGTGATAGATATGCAGTCTCCTGGTGTTTTAAACTTGGTCGTTCTGTTAATGTAATGGCTCCTAGAAATGTTGTGCCAATTTTGTGTTCAAACATGTGATGTCTGATTATATTTTTTCCCCTTGTGAATAGCTTAGGTTCCTTGTAGATATTTTGTTTTATTACGTTTCATTGTGACATTATTACATTATACAAAATTAAACATGGTTCGTGACAGTTTTATGAGCTATCAGATTTTCAGAAAAAATCAATTGAAATGTTACTTCCATGCATTGATTATTGACATTACACTAATATTGAGTTTTTACTGTTTTATTATATGGCTTAGGTAAGTGAACAAAATTTGCTAAAACTATTGAATATAATTAGTAAAACTAAAAACAACTAAGAAAACATTTGCCCCAAATTAGATGCTTGTATGGCCTTTCCATCAATACCATACATTCTAGTGTTACATTTTTTTTTTTTTTTAATTTTAGTTTAAACATTGCGATTTGGTCATTTCAGTCTGCACACCGCTAGGTTCAGACATGTTTTAGTATTTTGCCATGTTCAGTATTGGATCTGCCTGATTTTTGTAAAGACAAGTTTATAAAGTCATGATAGATATTTGCTGGATTAAGACCGAGATTTTTTTTTATTATTATTGTTCAGTCAGTTTTTCTCGTTGTCCTTTACCTTTTTAATTTGTACAATATTTTATATGATGGAATGTCAGTGTATTTGAGGTTTATATTTTATTAATACTTTTGCATTTGAAAGAAACTACGATAAATATTTTTCTTTTCTCTTTAGAATGGTAAAGGGATATTACTGTTCTTTTCAGGTGGAATATTCAAAATAACTTACAAATTAAAAATATTGTGAGAACAGATTCAATCTTCAAGAGGAAGATATACAAAATGGTTATAAGATTTTAGATTTACATAATAAATATACATTCCTTTGTTAATATTTTAAGGAAGTGATCTTTTATTTATTTCCAAGTAAAACATGAAAAAAATTAAACTAAAAGCTAAAGCTAATACTTTTTAAGGCATATGATCTGACATTTTCTACTTGCATTTACCCTGTATATTTTGTGTATTAAAGGAAAATTTGTACGTTTGTATTAAACAGTCACAAATATCAGACAAAATGAGGGTTTATGAGAAACATTAATTTAGTTACAAGAAAAATAATTATTGTAAAAAAAGGATATTGTATATATATTACTGATATTGTATGTTTCTAAACAATTTGAACTTTTAATTTTACCGGATGCAGTGAATCGCCATAACTTACCTCGGATATAACAATGGAAAGACATACAATCATAATATTTATAAAAACAAATAATTAAAATAAATAAATTTCAAAAAAGTAAATCCAACAAAAGGACATGCAATTAAATATATTAGTTTGAACAAACAACAAAGAAAATTAGTTTTGTAAAAATTATATACACATTTATTAAAATTGTACAAACATATTAATTCATAATCTCACTTATCCCCTAAATTCTTTTTTCACATATTATGCATTTTGGTGCATAGTTTTCCTTATTGTATTTATTTTATTTTTTAAGTAAGAAAGAAATATTAAAATAACAACTTAACAGAGTACTGTTTGTTTTTTCTCAAAAAAATAATAACTTACATAATAATTTATAAAACTATACAGAAACAATATCTACAATGATGATCTCTACTTAAAATGTAACTAACAAAACTGAAAGATTATGAAAAAAAAACAATGTTTAGATATCTAAATACATTATAAGTATATAAATAACTACTTATGATATACTTGTTTCATATGTATATATTTATATATATATAAATATATGTACATGTGATTGTTCAACATATTTCTTTTGCCAACCTCTTGACTAATAGTTATACTATTTGTCTTTTTCCCCATAAACTGTAGAGAAACAATTAACAATTGTTTTTTTTTTTTTTTTTTGTAAAAATGGTGGAACTGATGGATTAAGTAAAATAAAACAAATTGTCAGAAGGAATGTATGAGCATACATGCCATCATGCACATGCCAGACATGCTATAAGGCTTTTTTGTCATCCAGCAGAGAATCCCTGAACGACGATTGATCACCACCTACATTAAAATTTTATCATAAAAAATAATTAGAATTCTTTTTTCTTTTTTTTAATTCATTTAAATTGAAAAAGGAAGCAATTCCTTCCTTATATATATTTTTTGGATTATTTTCTTCTTTGTTCAATATAATATATAAAATCCTGAGTATACTTATAAAATCTATATTATGGTTAGTTTTTATTTACGTATTATTAAGACACAGACAATTTATTTTCACAGCTTACACGATTCACGCGCCCATTTTATCTATCATTACGTTCGAGTGTTACTACAGAAAGGGGGAAAAAAAATCCATGCAATCTGTTAAACAAGATACAAATTAGGGATCACAGGGATATATTGCACAATGGAAGACTATAATACTAGCAAAAAATTCTGGAATTTTCAATTTCTCGGAAGAAACCGGTAGACAAAGTTTTGACTGGAAAATACTCGCTATTGTTTTATTTTAAGTGCTTGTGCCATCGGCAGTTAGCTAAAAATTAAAACATACAAAAATTTGTTAAGTTAGATGAGAGAAAAGATTGTGATAACATCACGTATCTTCAAAAAGGGAAATAAATTAAATTGAAAAAAAAAAAAAAAAAGAAGAAAGCAAAAAATAATTATAACTACTTACAAATAAAAACATTGCTATTAAAATCATAAACTAAGTTACTGTTATGCAAGCAAAAATAAATTTATTCTTGGATAAGTTGGTTAATCGTCTTAATAAAAATCAAATAAAAATACTTAAAGCAGGTATATTTAGGCGTGAAAACAATAAACTACATTTTAATAAGCTCAGTACCACCAAGAGAGAGATCGATCATATTTCTTTTAAATCTAGGTTTTACAAAAATGTCTAGAGAAAGGAGGCACTTGTCGCGTTATTATCTATATAATCGTTCAACTTATGATTGGAATATTTTTTTAAATGCAAAATCTATAAAAAAAAATAAAGAATTTCATTCATTTTGATTTAGGTTTTGCCTACTTAAGACCAAATTAAATTTTAGTAGTTTTTTATTTTAAATCAAAAGGTAAACCATACTAATTTAAAAAAAGACACCTCTTTTCTCTTGATAAATGCATAAATATATTTTGTTAAATAAATAAATTTATAAAATATTTTTTGACAAATATCACTTTTATAAAATTTGATTGCCTAACAAGTGCACCTGGAATCTCATCTGGAAGATTGATTTAAAACCAATTTTTTAACGAATTTTACTTCATCGCGTAAAATTTTGTTATCTTCTTTGTCGCATCACTGGTTTTTATTTTTAAAAGTTTTGTTTTCAACTGTTTTGTATTATAAAAACTGAGTGATTAGATGGCCTTTCTACTATACGAATTTTTCACTTTCTTTCAATGACCTCAAATTTAATCCAAAATCAGAAAAGATGATAAAATGAATTTTTAAAAAAATAGTAATAATAATTGCACATTTAAGTTGAACCACTTGAGTAATAAACATTATGATTAATACTACCATTAAACTCTTAATCCTATTTTAATAAATAGTTAATAAATAGGATTAATTCATTTTGGTCACAGTCAAATTAAGGCTTTTGCTTAATTATCCTTTAAAAATTAACAAAGTTTACACTATACAGGAGAACAAAAGTATTTAAATATTGTCGTTTTTATTAAATATTAAGTTTCAATTGGTTTTATATCATTTTGAAATAAGTGCCAATTTTATTTAAAAATATATTAGTGCTCTGCTCTTTTCACAAAATATGAAATAAAAATACTCAAAAGCATATACGTCTAATGACTTTTCATTTTTCACTTTACAAGAATATTCCGTGTAAAAAAAACAGCCACAAAAGATACAGAAAAATAAATTCCCTCTTCCCTTGATCATATTTACAATTAGAAAAAAAAATTATTGTTTTAACTACACTCTATAAAGTTAATTGGCCACATACGGAACACAGTCGAACATCAAACTCATTGATGAATCTATATATAAAATTCATTTATTGTTCATTATTTTCACAAAAAGGATACTATGCTATTATATAAACACTAAGGCAACAGTTCAATTAAAAGTCTTAAGAGTTATTGGCTTATAGCATTTCAACACCCGTTATACAAAGATAATACGATACGAAAGCATTAAACAACACGAGGTTTGTCCTGTTTGAACCTCGATGTTGGTAGTGTTCAATTTTACAACACACATCACTGCACCCAAATACCACACATGAACCTGACTTGATGATCGATGAAGACTCCTTGGCCAATTTCAACAGGAAACTTAAGGGAAGAGATGACTGTTTCTATACAGTTTTCTTCGGTGTTGTTGCATTAATTTCAAAAGTTTCCTGTTGAATTCTTTTGCATTTTGTTTTTTCTGTTCTCAGTGGACAAAGTTCAGACGGAGACAAATTCATATCACATATGTGATGAGCAAAAAGAAAACAGCCCACATCATTATGATCCAATGGACTGTTTTGAGTGGGTGCTTACCATCGGTAAACTTCCTGGCAACAAATTTAAGGGTTTCATCCAAAAGCACAACTGGAATTGAAAATTTCATAACAGTAAGCCATTCTTCCCCATTCAGTGGTGTCACTTGGAATACAGTCTACAAAATAATTAAAAACATTAAATTAACACCAAAATTGCAACTTTAGATTTTAAATATAATTGAGCTTACGGAAAGGATTTCAACATAGAGGATGACGAAATGGAGTGTAAAAGAAAGAGCCATTGAAGCAATGAGCCAAAGGTTGGACCATGGTGGCATTGTGACAAGAGACTGGTTTTCAGACAAGCTGTAAAGAAAAATGAATTAGTATAAAAAAAAATATTACCCAATCCTTTTTTAATTACTTTTAACTAATTGAAATTTAAAAAAATCACCTGTTCATGGCGTTCAACATTTCAATAGTTACAAGGACAGACAAGGCCATGGTCATAGGATGAGGGTCGTGGAAGATGTGGCAGTCAACTCCGGCGAATTCAGGTCCACCTCCAATACATTGAAGATGGTGAGTCTACAATTCAAATTTAATTATTGTAATTTTATGGTGATGAATTTCGATCGATCCTGTTTAATTTTAAAAATCTTACAAGTTGGTAATAGTTCATCTGTGGTCCATCTGGGCTGTACATGAACCACCAAGCAGCAGCACCAACAGTGGCAGCACCTACATATCCACCAATAGCCATGTAACGGAAAAACAACCATCCAGAGATCAAACCTTCATCACTCTTCCTTGGTGGCTATAAAAAAGACATAAGAGCAAAATATGTTTTGCTGTGTTACTACTAGCACTACGAGTTTAATTCACATCACCAATTAGCTAACACTTGTCACCTACCTTGTTCATGATGTCAAGATCAGGAGGGTTGAAACCAAGGGCAGTAGCTGGAAGACCATCAGTGACCAAATTGACCCATAGAAGTTGTACAGGGATCAAAGCTTCAGGAAGACCAAGAGCAGCAGTCAAGAAGATACTGTCAATTATGCACATATGTAATTAATCTATTATAATTAAAATTCAGGGATGATATATGGAATTTGTAATTTTAATCTTGTTTCCTAATATAATAAATATTTTTTTCTCTTTTATTTACCTCACGACTTCACCAATGTTGGAGGAGATGAGGTAACGGATGAATTGTTTCATATTGTTGTAAATGGCACGACCTTCTTCAACAGCAGATACAATGGTAGAGAAGTTGTCATCAGCAAGTACCATTTCAGATGCAGATTTAGCGACAGCAGTTCCAGAGCCCATGGCAATACCAATTTCAGCTTTTTTGAGTGCAGGGGCATCATTGACACCATCTCCAGTCTAACAGAGATAATGATTAATTAACATTAAATAAAATTACTGACAATTATATAAGAAAGATATTATTTACCATGGCAGAGATTTCATTCATGCTTTGCAAATATTCAACGATTTTGGATTTATGGGCAGGTTCTACACGAGAGAAGAGCCTAGCATGCGCACAAGCTTGTTTCTGTTCGCTGATTGGCAAGTCATCAAATTCACGTCCAGAGAAGGATTTGCCAGTTGTGTCTTCATCTTCACCGAAGACGCCAATACGTCTGCAGATAGCTTCAGCAGTAGCCTTGTTGTCACCAGTGATGACAATGACACGGATTCCAGCAGCACGGCACCTGACAATGGAGTCGAAAACTTCTTTCCTTGGAGGGTCAAGCATACCAACAACACCGACAAAGGTGAGGCCAACTTCATAAGTATAGAATTTAGTGGAGTCTCCAAGGTCCATTTCATCGGGTTTCATTGGGTTGTCAGCGGTGGCAAGAGCAAGGCACCTAAGGGTGTCACGCCCAGTACCGTATTGCCTGGTGAGGTCGAGGATGCGGTTCTTGAGGGTGGCGTTCAATGGCACTTTGGTGTTACCGACACGGGCATGGGTGCACCTTTCCAATACACCTTCGGGTGCTCCTTTGACAAACAGTTTTGGTCCAGTTCCCAACTTGGAGGGTTTGAGGGGAACGCAGTATGAGGACATGGATTTACGATCTCTGGAGAATTCGAGGGTGAATTCCTTCTTCCATTTGGTCTCAAGATCTTGACGTACAACAATAGCGCTTGTCCTCCTGTCCAAACCGGTCTTTGGAAGATTGAAGGGATTCAATTTCTCAGCAAGAACAATCAAAGCAGTTTCAGTAGCCTCTCCGACCTGTTAAAGAAGCGAGAAAATTTCATATAACAATATTGTAAGCATAACAAAACAATTAAGATGATGCACTTTTCTATTACCTTCTCAAAAGCTTGTTTAAATTCATTGAAATCAATAGCAGAGTCATTGCACATGATGCAGATAGTTCCAATTTCTTGTAGAGTTTCATAATCAGCTCCCTTGATCTTCTGGCCTTTAAGGAAAACTTCACCAATTGGCTCATATGTAGATCCAGTGATTTCAAATTCCAAGAAAGAGCTGTCTGATCCTTCAATTTTCTCAAAAACAAACATCCTGCTGACAGACATTTGGTTGGTGGTGAGTGTGCCAGTCTTATCTGAGCAAATGACAGATGTGCAGCCGAGGGTTTCAACAGATGGAAGAGAGCGTACAATGGCATTTTTCTTGGCCATACGTCTTGTACCAAGGGCCAAGCAGGTAGTGATGACGGCAGGAAGACCTTCAGGGATAGCGGCTACAGCCAGGGCAACAGCAATTTTGAAGTAGTAGACAGCACCCTGTAATACATAATAATGAAACTCAAAGTTCCACAGTCAGGTAAAACAAATAATATACCTTGATCCAAGATCCACCGTGGGCAGGGTCATTGAAATGACCAATGTTGATGGCCCAGACAGCAACACAGATGACAGAGATGACTTTAGACAATTGTTCACCGAATTCATCCAGTTTCTGTTGGAGTGGAGTCTTGATCTCTTCAGTCTCAGACATTTCAGTCCTAATCTTACCAATAGCAGTATTCAGGCCGGTTCCCATAACAACACCACGGGCTTTGCCAGCAGCAACATTGGTACCAGAGAAAAGAATATTCTTTTTGTCCTGAAAAAGCAAATTATTATATATATATATATTTTTTTTTTTTAATTTTTTTTTTTTATTTTTTTTTTTTTTTTAAATAACATAAATAGCCAAACAAATTACCTGATTCACAGCCCTTGGGTCAGGTATTGGATCAGTGTGTTTGATTACTGAGACAGATTCACCAGTGAGAATAGACTGATCTATCCTGATTGTTGTAGAATATATTTTGATTAACCTAATGTCAGCTGGGATTTTATCTCCAACTGGAATTATAAACAAACGTGGATATTATTTCTTAATTTCTTTACAAAATTTTCAGTCAAAATAAAGATCCTAAATGTACCTGAGACTTCAACAACATCACCAGGAACAATCTCTTTGGCCCTGATTTTCTGTACACCGGCCTTGTCCCCCCTGACGACTTTACCCATTTCAGGTTCATACTCTTTAAGAGCTTCAATTGCAGACTCTGCATTTCTTTCCTGAAATATTATATATAAATTAATTATACGTTAAAGGATTTTTTTTTGTAATTTTTATAATTTTAAAGATTTGCTTGGAGTTACTCACCTGCCAAACACCAACTATAGCATTGGCAATAAGGATAAGGAGAATGACAAATGGTTCAACAAAAGCTGTGAGCTGGTCATCATGTTCTTCAAATAACGCAAGAACCTGCAAACAAATTGATTATTTCAGCTTTGGAGAAAAAAAAACACATAAAAACAGCCTTTCTATAGTACCTATTCTACGTTTTAACCCTAAAACGTTTGATTTTTAGAAACTAAATGTTTACAAATCGGCAAATGGACCGGAGAGGATCAAAGAGGTGAGGCCAAGTGTTTCTAAATATCAATTTTAAACAAAGCTATACAAAGATTTTTAAGAGTGTTTGTTAAATTTTCACTTAGATTATAAAAGTAATTATTATTTATGAATATATACATTACTGATCTCTCTTAATAATTTATTGATTATTAGTGAAATTAATTATAGCATCCCATTAAGTTAACTACTATTTTATAACAGTGAACACCCCTTTTCATAATGTTTCTCCCTAAAGGATAAAGTTCATTTGTTCATTTTGTATACAAGACTTTTTTTAATCTGATCTACATATTTTATTTCAAAGTTTTCAAGTTATTGCGTATAGATAACCAACCGTTTGTTACTAAATCCAGATTACCGCATATGTATTGTTTATTTGATTTTTAATGGGAACAGAGACAATTAATTAAATGGTTGGGAAGAAATAACAATTAAAAAAACAAGGTTATAAAGAAGTAGAAAAATACAGTATTACAATGAACGGGAATTTATAAGTAAAACTTTTGCTTTTCTTACAATCATACCACTTGGAAAATATTAACTAACTAGCACTATGAGTGCACAAGGTTGACAAAATATTAAATACTGCAAATAATGTAAAACAAGCTTGTAAAATACTTACAAAAGAAATAATAGCGGCTAACAACAAGATTTTAACTAAAAGATCGTCAAACTGTTCAAGGACTAACTGCCAAATAGATTTTCCTGAAAAAAAAAATTAAAATTATTTCAATAAAAACATCATATATACAAATATATAATATATAATATTATATATACATATATCTAACTATATTTGTTTTAATATATTATTTATTTGCTTCCAAGCACAAGAAAGGAGTTGTTAAAAAGTAATAGACTTGTCACTAATCCATTTTATATGTGAGCTTTATTGTAAAGAATTTATTTCATAAATATTTCCACATTTAAGGGTCAATTTAAACATTGTCAGCACATTGGACATTTTACAGCCACTTATAGTCTAGTCGTGAATGTAATTTTAATCAATGTACTCTGACAGTATTAAGTATGTTTTGTTTGGATTTTTGGGACAATTGCGTTAAAAAATACTTACGGATTTGATAGGATTTACAAGCGTTTAAGCAAATAAACCGACACCGGAAACCATGAATCTCTACCTAAGCAGGGATCTGGAATTCGAAACGTCAATTATAAAGGCGTGATATTTTTTTAAAGTGTGAGATTTCTTCTTGAGGTCTGCGAGATTGTAAACTAGCTGCTTGTTCGTTTGCTATCATTTTGGTCTGCCGATCCTCGCTGTTTTGGTCAAGAAGCGTTTCTGTCTTTCTCCATTTTCAATTGATGTCTTCTACATTTCGCATTCAACCCTCTTTGATAAAGGTGGGTTACTTGGAGCACAAATAGTCTATGTTGGACATTTCACTAAACTAAGAACTCGAGTACTGCACATCACATGTTGATTTTTAACTCTTCCAGGCCCAATGATAAAGAATTTTTTCTCTTGACCATATTAATAGTGTATAGTAAAAAAAATTCTCAGAAAAATATGACATAACCGGATTTTCAAGTTTAATATTCACAAGGCCACTTAATTAATAATAAAGAGCTGATTGACTGATTGGCTCATTTTATAATGTGTGTTTCTTAGTGACCTGTTGTCTCATAATTTGTTGAAGTCGTGAGGAACGGTCAAGAAAGAGGTAGTTTAGAAAAAAAACACCTTTTTCATTTTTTTCTCGCGTTTCGGCTTTTATTCGGGTCATCTTCAGGGCATAAAGTGTGGTGCTATTCTTGTGTCATATTGGTTTTGTGCGAAAGTGTTGTGAGGTCTCTCACGTTGGCAAAAAAATAAAAATGGTGTTTTTCTAAACTACCCCATTCATGACCGCTCCTCACGACTTCAACAAATTATTTTATAATATTAATGTACTTAACGGACACACTAGATAGGCAGGATCAATTTTTTGGTTTAGATGAAGGCTCCCATTTTGTATATTTAAGATAATGAGTTAGAATGTAAAAATGCAATGGTTCTATTGTATATTCTATTAATCTACGAAGTAAATTAACTCTATCCGCTCATCTTGGCAAAAATTCATTCAATTTATTCATTATTTTCTAATTTTAAACATAAATAGGCTCGAAAGGTTCCAGACACGTGTGAAGAACTTTTTTCGGATGGGCAATTTTGTCTTGCATGGTTTCATGACAGAAATATCTGTGGAGAAGCGTATTAAAATAACGCAGACCCACTTTCCACAGGGGATAACGTTTTCACAAAATGCATTCCTATTCTGTGATAAAAAATAATTTGAAAAAGATATTTCTCGGTTTAATAAAAACGTATTTATGCTTTTTTTCACATACAGGTATGCATTTGATTGGAATTGTGTACTGCGAGCGCGTGGATATTCCAAGGAAAACACATAAACAACATATCAAAAGACTTCCAAAGCCGTCTATTTTTATTAGTCAATTTAGAAAAGTCTAGGTGGCGAGGAATTTACGAGTAATACAAGAAATTATTTGTTACAGGATCGAAAAACGACAATGTATGCTTAACCCAAAAACAAAAATTTTAACTAATTTGTTTTAGCTTTCAATCGAAAAAAAAATCAAAGTAACGTCATAGTAATAGGAACTGACAACTCACTTCCTGAATGGGAAAATGTACATGACGTTTGGTTTTTACTCGTTCTTTGAAGTATATTTTTCTTAAGTCTTTTTCAACGATATTACAAGACTTCTTGTTACAAAATAACGGTCAATTTTACACAGCAATGTGAGCGGAGGATTGAAAATGTAACATTTGTGTTTTATCATGGTTGTAAATTACAAACGCTAACTCCTGTTTATTAACCGGGAGTCGTGTACTGGTCTCCTACGTCGTTCGTGGAATATTCTCTACCTTATCGCTGAAAACACATGTCGCAATTATTTAAAACTATGCCGAGGCAGGCTTACTCTTCTATGGGCTGTTTTGAAAAGATAATTTTTTCGGATGGCAGCCTTGCTTTTGACGTCGCCCACGTGAACGAAAAGTGGCTCTTAGAAAAAATAAAATAAAAATAATATACATGTTCTAATCTGAAGGGATTGTAAAACGATTCGTGCTAACAAGAATCAACGATAAGGCTCATTTGTGAAAATCGTGCTAGCGGTTAAGTGCGAGAATGAACTAATGACTAGTCAGAAATTATCTACTTTGTCATTCTGTCGTTAACGTCATGGATATAAACCTAGCTTAAAAATTTAATTAAAAATTCAATATATGAGGAAAAAGCATGTTATTTAATCTACTATAAAATGTATGCCCGTGGTTTATCGATGGTACACAAGTAAGCTCCAGACCCCCCCCCCACCATCATTTAAGGTCCAGGAATGAAAACTAATAAATTATAAAATATAAATATATATTGTTCCTGACCTTTGCAAATCTTTTTCCTACGACTCATCTCCTCTTTTACATCTTGAATAAATGTCCAGAAAAAAATATTATTCAACATTGGTTTTCTAATGTATAGAACTACAAATAAATCTAATAGTTATCTGTTGAATGAGTCGATAGAAACAAGCAAACCCCAGTTTGATTTATATATGTTAAAAATATTACAGCCCGAAGATATTTCTAGAATCAGTAATTTTATTACAGTTTAATATTTTAAGGCTTTTAGCGTTAAGGAATGGCGTAAAGTTCTTAAAATACTGCTTCCCCTCCTGTGTGAAAGCACAACAAAATCATTTTAGCCCCCGTGGATATTTCTGGCCTTCGTTCTCACTCATTCTATTAGCCAGCTGTGAAAATCACTTTTTTGCAGAAGGAAAGAAATATAATTAAATTAATATTATTGACGAATCGTTTTTATAATTCAGTAGATATTTAAACGTTTTAAGATAATGAAATTTGTACATTAAGTCTTCTTAGCGCATCAGTTAAACGCAGAAGTGAAGTTTGCTTAATAGTTTATAATGACCAACATACCTAGATAATCCATTTATGTTTAGTGGTCTAATTGACCAAATTACTTATTTCAATTCATTATCCTTTTTATGTAAGGTCTTAGAGTGTCACGACTCGAACCCACGACCTTCGGGCTCAATACGCCGCTGCTCTAACCACTCGAGCTATCGTGACTGGTCGAAGTTAGAGCAGCGGCGTATTGAGCCGACGGTCGTGGGTTCGAATCCCGCTCGTGACACTAATTTTTTCATCTTAACCAAGACCTTACATAAAAAGAATAGTTAATTGAAATACCTAGATAATGGTATTAAATAAGTAGTAAATTTAGGTATTTATAATAATAAATACCTAAATAAATTTAAAGACAAATTTGCGCTATCTGGCTTAATTCTAGAACTTTTAATGTATCATATTCAAGCAGTTATTCCCTATTCAACTTTGGCTCTAGATATCGGACCAGCCCCTCTCCGACTTCTTTTTAAGTATGATAAGACAACAGATCTTGCTTAGCACTACCCAGTAGGTCTTCTACTTTTAATTTTGATATTAAAATAGACAATCTGGTTGGTTTGAAGTTTTTTAGTTGAAGGTAACGCTAGTCGAGAAGGTAGTAGAAGTATGAGAGGAAATCTATGGATCATGGGACGAAACGAATCTCAATAACACAATATCAACTTGTCAATTAGTGATCTCGGTTAGGTGTGATTAGGTGAGATTAGGTTGAAGAAAACGACAGACGAAGGCCATTGTCACATGGCATTGTTATATCTAAATTCACTAATTTCGTGGTCCGCTTGACCAATTATATCTAAAAACGATGTAGTTTCCATTATGCATTTCCTAATTCGAGTGAAGATTTTTTTTTTAAAAGTGTTCATTTTCGACTATCAGGCAAACAATAGTCTTTGTTTACGCATCAATTGCGAAGGTTGTTGAATGCAAATGTAGTAGTTATCTCCAAATCAAATGACTTACCGACCTGAGAAATTTTCCTGGACCGATTTAGAAGCAGGGTGGGTTTTAAAAGTCGTAGCCCCCTATTTTTATGAGTTGTTTATAACAAACGGCGCCTATCTTTCTAAGCAATCCCTCCCAGGGGTCTTAAATAGACGGTGGTGGTGTTTCAACAATCACGAGCGTAACTCGAGGTATACGTTGCGGTAGTGTGTCGCAAGATTGACAAATTTAACTTTTGCAAGAGAAGTCTCCCTCTTTAACTGGCTTGGGTTTAAAACTCAAAAAATGAAAATTGTGTGAAAGAAAATTGCATCGGATGGGGAAAAAGTATGGAGCGATTCTACCAAGGTTAACTTTATTGGAACTAAGAATTTGGCATATTCATGCGTGACAGAAAAAACAGTTTTGATGGGTTCCATATCACCAAAAAAGGGGTTGGGTTACGCGCGGGGGTGTTTTCATAATGAAAGTTTGTGAGGGAACAGCTGTGTGAAAGGATTGCGTCAGCGACACGAATGGCTCTAGCTCCTTTGGGCCAGATCCAACCAACATATTTCTGTCAGCCTTCAATCAACTCTTTTCCAAAAGAAAAAAAAGAAAAAAGAAAAAGAAAAACAAAGAAAAAGAAAAACGCAAGATTTTTAATGTTTCTCATATTTCCTTTTTCTTACCAAAAATACAATCTGTTATCACTATTTTTACTAAGCTACGCTGTTCTGTAAATTTAGGAGCATTACACCACTGAAACTCAATATCAACTGTTATATTTCAAGTTATAAGTAAATTTTATTAGTTTATTATAAGT